TTTTTTTAATTTTATTTTCAATTCTGTAGTACTGTTTGTGCAGTTTCAGTTATTCAACTGGAAAAAAAAACTCAATACTTTTACAGCTATGTTCAATAAAGCCTATTTCCAGGTAAGGTATGAAAAGTGGTGTATTTATTATTTTCTTTGATATGTAAATAAAGAATATTGATTTTTCAAAATCTAATGCAAACTACAAAATCATAAATTAGCATTTTACATCAAATGTATTTTTGTTACCACAGTACAGTTGCAGGAATCTTTTAAAATAGTTTCTAAATTACTTAAATGCATTCCTATACATGGACCTAGAATAGATGGAGTAAGAATGTTTACATGTTAAGGGATGTGAGCAAGTACACACTTGACTTACTATGTGTAAGCATTTTGATTTAATCTCACATGCACAATTCCAGACATTCAAAACAAATTTACAAATCAAATTAATTTCTGTACATGTTTTCCCAGTTTCTTTTTTAACCAATGGTTCCCCATTTTCCCAGTCTCTCCCTGGCCCTACCACTCAAACAGTGTCTTTCTCCCTTTTTCCATGTCTAGTTAGCCTACTTCTGGCTCTCACAATTGCCATGGAGTAAAGACACTTTTGACTTGTGGCATTTAAATGACTCTAATTTTATTGTGTGCCTTCTAATCTTTCCATAGCTACCTCTCTCTGTCTTTTGTCTAATTTTTCCCCTTCCCTCTCTCTTTTAACCTTTTAGGATTCTATCTGCACTTATTTCAGATATCAGTCCAAAAGTGCTCATACCCTTGGAATCTCCTCTTAAACCTGAAATGCTATGTTGTCTTTTGGACAAATACTACAGTGACCACATATGGGCAGTAGTGAATTTCATCATAGCCAGATTATGCCAAACATCCAAATGTTAGGCTATTGAAATTCCCTTAGACCTTTTTACAGCACCTTTATGTTTTCTAGACATTCCCGTAGCACATTATTTTTAATTATTCTTAATTTTAATTATTCTGTCACAACTTTGTTTTATGGATATATCTGGCATTCTGAAGTATTTGTTTTCCAACTACACTTATAATATTTGGGACTTTTTACTTTTTACCATATCTGACATTATCAGATAAGCCCAGCCATTATAGGGATCAGAAGTACATCTCTCTATCATGTGTCTTTATGTTTCTCCACTGTTTTGTGTTAGGTCTGTCTATAGAGATTAAAATTATATACATTATTACAGTTATTACTTATTATACCAGAGGTCCATGGATTAAGCTAATGCAGGCCAGTTTGCTTCTTGCGATTCATGTATTTAGGAATTGGAGCAAGGCATGGACCAGTTTGCTCAAACACTCCAGATTCTTCTGGTCCCTACTACTCCCTTTATCCATGAAACCCTAGTGTATGCCTTTCATGATATTCCTGGTTAACTGACGTGACTCAAGCAAAAAAAATACATGTTAGTGTAGTAAAATCACAAAGATATGATGGTGATCCTGTTAATTTTAGAGGTTTTCTAAATCTGATAGGCATTGATTATGAACTAATTTTTTAGGCATCCCCTACTCAACTCACCAATATGGTTCTTGCTTGGGCTAATCTACAACACAAATAAATCATGATATCTATAAATACAGGAATTTGTGGTCACCTTTAAAAGCCCATTTGATATGCAGGTAGATCAGCTACTAAAAAGCAAAGCAAATCAAGCTATATTTATGATATAGAGTAGAGATAAAGTTAGCAGATAATCCAGCACACCTACAAAACTAACAGAAAATATATGGCAATTGTAAACAAAATAAGTATACTGTTAATAAATGCACAACACAATCTTCACTAGTCTTTTTTTTTTGTGATTTTCACAATCTTTACTAGACTTTTTTTTAACAATTTGTCTGAATTTTGGCTGATTGGCAGATCAGCCAAATTCTGTATCTTCCAATAATGGACATGCAACCTGGCAAACAAATAGTATGATGCATGAGCATGATATGCATGAGGTGATTCAGGATTTGTACTTCCATTCCTGGTGGCAAAAAAGGGGAACAGAATGGAGAAGAAGCTGATTTCTTTTTTTGGGGGGGAAGGCAAATAAGCAGCTCAGTTTGCCACAATCGACAAGAGGTTTGCCCAATGATGTGGGATGTATCTCCTGTCCAATCAAGAGGTGTAAAAAAAGATTGAGGGTAGGGCAGTTAGCGACAGGATTTAATTGAAGATTATGCTAGCTTTAGTGTACTAATAATCTAAGGTTTACTAATGACAGGATGTGAGTATTTGCATAACTCTCTTTACTGAAAATCTCCAGCAGCACAGAAACAGTAACAACCAATCAGAAAAAATTCAGATGGCACATAAATGGCCCTGACAGTGACATAATTTCCTCTTTCTTTGTAGCACGGATATAAACAGGTGGAATAAAACATAAGAACAAAGATTTAAACGATAATATCAGACCAACAACAATATTCGAATACCAATGGAGGCTTCAAACATGTACGTAGAAAGATGAGTTCATCCTTGATCAGTATCCAATTATGCTGAAAGAAAAATAAATAAATGAAAGGTTTCTGAAGTGGCAAGTTGCCCGCATATAATGTATATTCGATTACACCAACAGCTATAATGCATGTTATGCTAACTGTAACTCATTTAACAAAGTCAATGCTATATACCTATGTTACATCAATATTATAGACGATATAAACCAGATACCATTTAGAACGTTTACAAAATAACATCGCAAAGGCAGGGAAAAAAAACAATAGGGTGGGAAATACTCGCCTCCTGTCATTACTAAAATTAAGATTATTAGTACACTAAAGCTAGCATAATCTTCAATTTTACTACATGACAGGAGGCTTCCTATTTGCATTTTTAACACTATGAATTAACAAACGTTAAAGAGGCATGCAAAGTCTTCCTAAAGTAGAACGTTCTAAATGTGGTCTCACGTGTCCAATCTGCACAACGCATTATATCGGCCAGGGAAGCTCCTGCCGACAATGCCTGTGAAGCAGCTGCACCCCTGACTGAGTGAGTCCTAAAACATGGTTCAATGCCGGCTAACGCTAGAAGCCAGCGAATCCATCTGGCCAAGTAGTAGACACCGGGCCGTGGGGTTTCACACATGAAATCAGAAGCTGACCCACCGACGATGTTCGGAGGGGAGCTGAGATTTCTATATAACGCATTAATGTCCTAACCACATACAGGCTGGGATCTGATACAAAAAACGGGTAAAAAAAATGACGAGGAGTCTGATTTAGTCCAACGTGATATCTGGAAGGTAACCCCTTCTGGAGTGAAGGTGAAACCGGCGACATCAAACGCCCGTACATCTGATACGCGACGAAACGAAATGAGACATTGTAAAAAGGGGTGAGTTTGGCTGAAATTTGTTTCAGCGAAAGGTATGGGTTATCCGGCTACTCCCTCAGGAAGTGTAGCACCACATCCACATGCCATAGGCGTGAATATTTCGGTGCTGGAGGTCTTGACAGCTTGGCACCCCTAAGCAAGCGGCAAACTAACGGGTCTTGACCCACCGGAATGCCCTGTATCGGTACGTGCGCTGCCGATATGGCCGATCTAATCACATTAAGGGATCGGTACAACTGCTCTTGTGAGGACAGATGAGATAGATTGTTTAGTATCACATGTTTGCTGTAAAGGGATCGGAGTCCCTCTCCATACACCAACTTTTCCAGGCTTTCCCTGTGGAAATGTAACGTCTTCTGGTGCCGGAAGCCCATGAATCCCAAAGGAGGTAGATTGTGATAGGCCCTGGACTGACCAGGTTACCAGGTCTAGCTTCTGATCTAGAACGAGTGGGTGATGTTCCCCTTGTGGTCCTGTCAGCAGTAGAGGGAAGGATGGTAGCAGGATCAGTGTGTCGCAGGACATCTCTAATAGGTCCGGGAACCAGGCGTGGCTCTGCCAAAGGTGAGTGATAAGCAGTAGGGATATCTTGTGGATTCGTACATGTCGGATCACCCTCGCAATCATGGAAAACAGGGGAAAGGCAAATGCCCCCTGTTTTGGCCATGTTTGCAGGAAACGCATCCACTGCCTTGCAATTCTGGTCCAGAAGCCAACTGTAGTAGTTCAGTAGTTGGTGGTTGGTCCAGGACGCGAATAGATCCAGACTTAACAGGTGTTTCCAAAGCCTAAATTGTTGCAATATTGAGGTGTTGAGTTTCCAGTCGCTGTTGTCTCTCCAATCTCGAGAGAACCAGTCCGCCGTCAGGTTGGAAGTTCCTGGTAGATATTCTGCCCGCAGTGTGATGTTGCTGGATAGGCAGAATTGGTATATGTCCTTGGTGGTCTCCGTGAGGGCTTGTGATCTGGTTCCGCCCAGGCAGTTGATGTATTGTACCGCCAAAATATTGTCCATGTGGAGCAGAATGCAGCAGTCTGACATGTCTTTGGCTAGGCTGCAAATGGAGAAGGACCCCGCTATCAATTCCAGGCAGTTGATGTGGAGGTCGGTCTCTTTGCCCTGCCAAGGTCCCCCTGTGGAGGAGTTCGCGCAGTGTGCGCCCCAGCCCCAGAGGCTGATGTCTGATTCCACGATGAAGTCTGGGGATGAATCAAAGATTGCTTAGCCATTCCAGGCTTGCATGTGTAGCAGCCACCATCGAAGTTCTGTCCGAACCACATCCGAGAGCTGGATCCAATGACCGTATGAGTGACCCGAGTGCAGGCATCACGCTTTCAGGTGTTGCATAGCTCTTTAGTGTATAGGTACAGGGAATATTGCTTGGATTGAGGACAAGAGTAGGCCCACAATCCGCGCAAACATCCTGAGGGGAAAAGTCTCTATGCGGAGGACCCGTCCAATCTCTTTCCGAATTGAGGCTATCTTTGCTGTGGGGAGGTGTAGTATAAAGTTCTTCGAGTCGATCTCGAATCCGAGGAACTGAATTGACTGGGCGGGAAAGAGAGACGATTTTTGTCGGTTCACCACGAAACCTTTTAAGGATTCCAGAAAGTGAACGACAAACTTTGTCTGCAATCGTAGTCTGGATGCAGAGGAAATCAGCAAATCATCCAAATAAATGAGACATTGCACGCCCGAGGTTCGGATGTGAGCCATCACCAGCTTCAGGAGCTTCAGCAGCTTTGTGAAGCCCCACGGAGCAGAGCTGAGACCAAAAGGCAGACATGTGAACTGGCATGTACATCCTCTCCAACTGAACTGGAGGAAACAACGACAATCTAGGGTGATGTGGACTGACAGGTACGCGTGAACCAGTCGTTCGCGATGAGAAGATCTTGTAGGAAATGAATACCTTTCTGTAGATCTTGTAGGAGATGAATACGCGGTCTATATACCGCGTAGTAATTCAGGTGTCGCAGATTGATAACCGGTCGGTAATCACCCGTCTTCTTCTTGACTAGGAAGATATTGCTTAGGAAAAAAGCCGTCCTCTGACGTGTATTGCATTGCGCCCTTGGGTATGTTCTGGAGCCCGTCGATCAGGAGCGGCTGGTGACTCGGCTCTGTTGCCGACCACAAACACCTCGTCCGGGTGGGGCTAGGAAGACCTGTTTCCAGGAAGCTTGTGCCTTGTTTAAAGCGGTGAACAGGTTTATATGTCTTTTGAGTTCGGTTATGAAGGCTTCTCCGAACAGTAGGCCTTTGGCTTCTGGCTCAAGTTGACTAAAGATAGCCTATTTAATTGATCTCATGTGTAATCACTAAGGTTTAGGCTACTGCTGTTCCTACCTATTTGCTGCCAGTGGCACTTACAACAAATTTGTCAGAGATAAATAACCTCCTTAATTGATGCTAGTGTGAGACTGGTGATTAGCTTAATACTGTGCTTAGCCACTGCCAATGTTAGTCACAACAGTTCTGAATCATTGATTTACAGTTTTACAGAATGCAGACAAGTACAAATGCAAACCGCACTCAGAAGACATCCAAGAAAATCAGGAAAGCAGATTCTTGCCTGTGATGGTTTAATCACAGAGTCATATACATGGCTATAAATTACAGACTAAATATCTGCAAATGGCCAATAATTTAAAATAAAACTTAGTATGTACACCTGAAATAAGGAAGGGGGAAAAAAAGCTTAACAAAACCAAAGAAAAACTGGACAATTTTGAGATGTTTTTTCTAGAGTATTACAGGTCTTTTTTGTTAACTGTAAAATCAGTTAACCAAAAAGGACCCTTAAAACTCTAGAAAAGTCCTGTTTTTGAGGATGTGTTGTTCAGTAAAAATAAGAAAAACAACTCCTCTTGCCTATCTATTGAAAATGCCACTTTCAGTGGGGAACTGTGCCTGTTTAATTGCTCATAGTGCTAGACTTGTGGTTAGGTTACTAATGTGCTTAGACACTCTCAGTAGCACAATGCACTTACACCATCTTTGTTTCACTGATTTAGAGTTTGACAGGGATTTTTTTTGTTAACTGGTTTTAGGTCAAATATACTTTGTTTTCTTATTATGTTCAGTCCAGTGCATTCTGTCCAAGTGTACCGGCAATGTGCAGTGTGCAGTGGTTTATAGAGTTAAACACAATAATGTTATGATACTAGCAAATCCACCAAGAAACAATTATGTTTTCAACACAAAACATCTATTTGGGCTTGTTACTTTATACAATAAACATTTATATTTCTATATATTTCAGTAATAATAAATGTTATGTCGTAGTCCCAAGAACAAAGTGAGGGAAGGTGCAGGTCCTGTTCCCCAACCCCCCATCAGCAGTAGTGCCATGGCCTCTTGGAGTCTAAACTTTTCTTTCTTGGCCATGGTCTGATTCTCTATGTAGGAGGAGAATGTGTTTTTCTCCGCTTTTTGTGTTATACCTTATTGTAGTCCCCTCAAGAAGAACTAATGGGGATCTCAGCAAAGAGTAGTCAGTTGATGTTAACAGAGGAGTCCATAACACCCTGTCATTAAAAAAAAAAAAAAAAAAACTCTCTTTTTGTAAACTTGAAAAATGCTAACTTGAGCATCCTTTCATGTCATTTCTGACATTTTTTTTCATATGTAAGAGCTCAAAAGTTCACTTGTGCTTAAGTGGTGATAGATGGATCTTACGTTCATTCAAAGTTTTCAAGATTTTCCAGTTATTGTTAGAAAAATAAAAAATGTCTCCTCTATTGCAAGATAAAGTGCATTCATTACCCAAGAAGGTACTAATATTTAACAGTGAGACCCTATAGCTATAAATTGTAAATTTGCTTTGGGACATTTGCTGTCCCACCATAACACTTCTAAATCATTTCTCTTAGATCTTGGTTCTTTTAAATTCGGAGCATAAGTTGTTTTATCCCAAAGAGGCTTACATCAGTCTCCTTTCTATATGTTTTGCTTAGAACAGACAAAGAAATCATAACATCAAAGTTGTCACCTTATCTACGCATTCTTCTCATTTGGAAAATATGCATCTTCTCCTACTTTTCAAATTCTAGTTGTTATATTGGAGGCACCTCCATAAACTCCTTCTAAAGTTTTCAAAATTCCATTATTTGTCATTGTAGCGGCCACCCTGCTAGTTGAGAGGTTTCACCTGCCAGGGATGTCCTTTCTCCCTAGAGTGAAGAGCGCTGAAATATCCCCAAGCATTGGAACAAACCTAGGTAATCCTGGAAGTCTCAGCGGTGTTCAGGCAGTTGAGTGTCCGAAAATAGTTCCATACACTAGACACCCAAACACAGGTGGACGCGTTCGACAAAACAAGATTGCCGCCGCCACGTGTTCCTGCATATGAATCGACGGCCACCCAGTGAACCACTTAGAACTTTCAGTGTTGTGGTTAGAGCAAGTGTTTGTAAGGTCAATTGGGTCATTTGGTGGCACACGACTGCTTTGGATGGTCCAAGTGTTCGGTATATTATTCCGTATGCAAACCAGCTGGGGCAAATCTGTTCGGTTTGGTTCGTATACCGATCCAGGCTAAAAAAAAGTAATATCCAGGAACAGGACATCTGTTACAGTCACATTTTCACTCTTGTAAAATAACTGGTCACCCTGGAGTCACTAACACTTGGACTTTTTTATCACATGCATTTGGTGACATAATGCTAAAGAAGATATGCAGAATTCTGTAGTCACTTGAAAAAATTGCATTCAAAACAACTCAGTATATCTCACATTTTTGGAGGACATTCTACTTTGAATGCTCTGCTCTGCTAGATGGTACCAGACTTCTGGAGTGGTGGACCTATGGAAAAGACCTCTGGAGTGGTACCAAGAAAATTGGTATGACCTGTTACTCAAAGCTGTATTTTCTAGGAACAGTGCTACCCATTCAGCTTCTGATCACAGACCATTTTCATTAATTAAGGATTCCATCTCATGCTACTAGCTATTTTTTGTTCTTATTTAAGTATTCTGGCTCTGGACAAGTACCTAGTCACACTTCAAGCACTCTGGGCACATGATCTGCTGAATTACAAAAAGTATCTGCTGAATGACAAGTTGTGCCATTCAGTAGATCTCCAAAGGGACATGCTTATTATAAAACACTGCATTACTGCACAATACAATCAGATGGGGGGAAAGATATTGCTGTCCACCAGTACTTTATTCTCTCCAACTACTTCCTTGGTATGTTGGTACACCAGGCCTCCCAACAGTCCAGATTTTGGCAGGACAGTCACTGTCACACTGCTGGGACTGCTGGGACAGACAGCATATTACAAACACACTATTATATGCCCTGGAATAATGCTTAAAACACTAAAACACCATGTTGAGAACTCTTCAGCTGCACTCTCTGCATGTGTGTGGGACCAGACTGGCATTTGTCAGTCAGTTTGGTGTGCGTTGACACTAGATTGACAGGCCTCCTTTGGTTGTTGAAGCTATTCCTTCTTTTCCTTACAGTTGGGTCTGCCCATTATGAGCATCTTCAGTAATGCAAGTTTCTTCCCTGGGGATGCGCCACCTAATGTATGTCTACCCTGTTCCACCTGGCCTATCTCCCAATGTTGGAGTTCTGTATACATTGTGGATTCTTTATAAAATAAACTATGTACCCTGTGCCCTCAAGCTTGTTTGTCACTTTTATGAATTCATAATGTATTTCATGCTAAAAACACATGTGAGAAATGCTGAACTTCATGGACGCGAGTCTCTTTTCAGCCTATGCCACTATGTAACTATGTCTCCTCTCTGAAACCTCAACTACACAAGAGGTTTACTTATGTATTTCAGAAATCTAGTTCTGTGGCTGTCAACAAACAGAAAGCATACAAGTTCCAATCTATTACTGATTCTCATTCTCAGGAAGAAGTACAATATCTTATTTAATAAAAGGGATATGGGTCAGAGGAATGCTCTTGGGTACCTACCTCTGATGCTCATGTTTCTCTTTTTCTGTGATGCTTACTGTTAAGACCTACTAACAAAATTAATTTACCAGTTACATATTCAGTTTCCTGACAAACAAGGTAGTCCCAGACCTGAGAGGATTTCTAGGCATAGTCCTGACAGCACTTTCCCCATTGCTCCTACCATATCTGCTGAAATAAATAAAAATACTATGACATCTTTTTAAGGCATCACATGCAGAAACCTGACCATTACACCCTTAAACCGTTTTGCATGGCCTACTATGATTCTAGCAAGCCTCTACTTGTCTATTATCTACTGTTCTATCAGTCTCTATTCACTCTCAAACACATATAATAACATGCTCTCTGTCTCCCCGAGTTTCTTTTTATTTTCCTGTAGTCTCTAGAGAATGTCTTCTGATTATCTCCAAGTAACAAATTCCCTCTTGGTCTATTTATTAGATATTGAGCATGCCATTGCTAGTTGAGGGACACAATTATTAAGTTTTCTTTTTTTATTCATATCAGTCATGGTAAAAAGAAAGTACACCCACTTTGCATTCTATAGTTTTACATATCAGGACATAATAACAATTGTCTGTTCCTTAGTAAGTCTTAAAATTAGAAAAATACAACCTGAGATGAACAACAACACATGATATATTACACTGTCATGTTTTGTTTATCAAAAATAAAGCCAAAGTAGAGAAGCCAGGTGTGAAAAAACTAAGTACACCTTCAATAGCTTGAGAGCCACCGTTAGCAGCAATTACTTTAAGTCATTGTTTTCTGTATGACTTTATCAGTCTCTCCATTGTTGTGGATGCCTTTTGGCAAACTCTTCTTTACAATGTTGCTTCAGTTCACTGAGGCTTGCTGGCATGTGTCTATGCAAAGCTCTCTTAAGGTCCTCTCATAGCATTTCAATAAGGTTGAAGCCTGGACTTTGACTGGGCCATTGAAACACCTTGATTATTTTCTTTTTCAGACATTGTGTTGTAGGTTTGCTGGTGTGCTTGGGATCCTTGTCCTGTTGCATGACCCAACTTCAGCCAAGCTGTAGGTGGCCTCACATTTGACTCTAGAATACTTTGATATACTCAATGACTGCAAGGTTCCTACCTCCTGTGGCTGCAAAACAAGCCTAAATCATCACGCCTCCACCACTGTGCTTGACAGTTGGTAGTTTGTATTGATATGCTGTGGATGGTTTCCACCAAATGTGGCATTTTGCATTATGGCCAAAAATCTTCACTTTGGTTTTATCTGTCCAAAGGACATTGCTCCAGAAGTATTGTGGTTTGTTCAGATGCAACCTTACAAACCTAAGCCATGCTGCCTTGTACCTTTTAGAGAGTAGATGCTTTCTCATGGACACCCTTCCAAACAAACCATTGCGTTCAGTATTTTTATAATTGTATTGTCATCAAATTTAACATTTAACATGCTGAAGTCTGTAGAGTGTGAGATGCATCTCTTGGACTTTTTGCTAATTTTTTGGACATTGCACGGATTGGCAACTGTCATGAATTTTTTCCACTTTTAAATATTTCTTTCTCAATGTAGAATGATAGACTTTACATTTTTTGGAAAGTTTAATGGGCAAGAACGATTGCTTCTCAAAGATCATTGCTGATGTCTTTTCTACTTGCCATTGTGTTAACACACACCTGAATGCTCCAGACCAGCAAACTGCAAATACTTTGGCTTTTATAGAGATGGTCACATTTGCTGATGATAATTTCTCTCTAATATTATCTTCCTTCATGTAAAAGATAGTATTAGAGAATCATTTGTGGGGATTATACCATCCATGCCCAATTCAAAGAGCGGGTAGTCTGCTCTACCAAGAGTAAGTACATTTATTTTTTCTTATTTTTTTACCTTGATAGAGTACACTATTGGCCTTTTTTCTCCTTTTTACTTTTTATGCTTCATCATATCATCATTAGAGTTGAGCGGACACCTGGATGTTCGGGTCCGGCTGAACTTTGAAAATAATCCGGGTTCGGGCTCGAACTTGACCCTGAACTTGAACCCCATTGAAGTCAATGGCGACCCGAACTTTTGGCCACAAAAATGCCTCTAAAAAACTCCTGGAAAGGGCTAGAGAGCTGCAAAAGGAAGTAAAATTGGGGTAAGAGTAGGACAAGTGCCCTGCAAACAAATGTGGATAGGGAAATCACTTAAAATAACATAAAAATTAAAAATACAGCTGAGCCATAAAATAGCACTAGATGGAATCTTTGATTTTAGCTTTGGAAGAACATAAATCAAAATCTAAAGCATGACTGTCAGGAGGATCAACAGAATTATCCATTTGAGAGAGGGTTGGAGTGCAGGGTATTCACTTTCATTGTTCAAACTGAGCTCAACTCCTGATGCATGGAGAAAAGGCCTTGACAAGCCTCTGCTAATGTGTACCTAGTTTATACTAAGTGACCCATAGGTTGAGGAGACGGTGACTGTGGCGGTGGAGGAGGAAGCAGCGGTGGAGGAAGAGGATGAGGTAGCCCACACTGTATTTTATGTTTTTTTTTTTTTTTTTATTGTGGTAGCCCACAAAATATTGGGACATACAAACAGAGAAACATTTGTGGCCTGCGGTGCATTTCTTGCAGTCCTGATGCATGTAGAAATGCTCAACTCCTGATGCATGGAGAAAAGGCCTTCACAAGCATCTGCTAATGTGTATCTAGTTTATACTGCGACCCATAGGTTGAGGAGGCGGTGACCGTGGCGGTGGAGGAGGAAGCAGCAGTGGAGGAGGAGGATGAGGTAGCCAACACTGTATTTTATGTTTTTTTAGTTTTTTTTTTTATTGTGGTAGCCCACAAAATATTGGGACATACAAATAAAGAAACATTTGCTTCCTGCGGTGCATTTCTTGCAGTCCTGATGCATGGAGAATAGCTCAACTCCTGATGCATGGAGAAATGGCCTTCACAAGCCTCTGCTAATGTGTACCTAGTTTATACTAAGTGACCTATAGGTTGAGGGGGCAGTGACCGTGGCGGTGAAGGAGGAAGTAGCAGTGGAGGAGGAGGATGAGTAGCCAACACTGTATTTTATGGGGTTTTTTTTAATTGTGGTAGCCCACAAAATATTGGGACATACAAATAAAGAAACATTTGCGGCCTGTGGTGCATTTCTTGCAGTCCTGATGCACAGAGAAATGCTCAACTTCTGATGCATGGAGAAAAGGCCTTCACAAGCATCTGCTAAAGTGTACCCATAGGTTGAGGAGGCGGTGACCGTGCGCAGTAAGCACACTATTAGACGCTTTGATTTGACTCTCAGATATGAAGAACAGGCCCCAAAATGTACTATTTAGCAGATTAGCAGCAAAACAATTAGAATGTTTACCACTGTGCAGTAAGCACACCATTATACACTTCTATTGACTCTCAGATATGAAGTGCACCCCACTAATGTACTTTTTAGCACACAAAACATTTTACGTTTTAAAACTGCAATGTGACAGTAGTATTTGACGATTCTATTTGACTCTCAGATATGAAGTGCACCCCACTAATGTACTACCCCACTAATGTACTATTTAGCACCAAAAAAATTACTTTTTAAAACTCCGATGTAACCGTGGTATTTGAAGTTTCTATTTGACTCTCAGTGCACCCCACCCCACTAATGTACTAGTTTTCAGAATTCTTTCCTAAGCTGTCCTTATCAGCGGCAGCATCCTTTCCCTACACTAATAAGACCTCATGTGCGTGCGGCACTACTCGACTCCAGTTTATCTATAGAGGCTGGGTCACATGCTGCACTGGCCAATCACAGCCATGCCAGTGTAGGCATGGCTGTGATGCCTTCTAAGGGCACACTAGTCAAACACTTGTTGATTGGCTGCCCTGCAGCCTTTGAAAATGCGCCATTAAATTGCCAAACACCGAACTCCAACCCGAACATACAGTGATATATCAGTGTTCTGGTCTGGGGTCCAAAAAACCTAATGATTTCAGTTCGAGTTCGCTCAACTCTAATCATCATCCTGATG